GAGTTCCTTTTTTTGACACTGTCAGGGTCAGGTCACACGGACATTTAGTGCGGGCTTCGCTGCTGATCCCTCGCGCATTAAAGTTTCCTGTCCATATAGGCAAATCCGCCTCCCACACCGAAGCGGGCTGAGTCCCGCGGTTTCTGCTCTTTTTATCCACGTTTTCTGACACTCGTTGGAACAGGTGTTTTTCCGATATCTCACGCTTTGTATCCGCGGTTTTGGTATCTGGACAGCAATCCGCCATGACCGCGCTACCCTCCCCCCCTTTTTTGTGTTTCCGGTTTAAGTTATGCGCATGTGCAAACAGGCGCTAGCTTTTATTTTGGTCTTTTTAGTTTGTATGTACGCCCAAGCGCTTGCGCAGGTTTTGTTTTTTTAAAAAAAAAACCCACGCCGCCACGGGGACAGCGCGCTGTGTGATCAGTACTTCGCGCGAGTGAAGCGGAAGACAGAGGGACCGTCTGACCACCTCCAAGCGATATAAAATGTCGCGGATAGAACAACTGCGGGAAAACTAGCGCGGTAAGAGGTCCGTGTGACCGTGGCCTCAGACTCGGGCTGAATAGAGGCAAAGGGTAGGCAGCTTTCTACGGAAAGGAGTTTTGCCTCTCTGTTCACTTTCCTTGACCTCGGCAGTTGCAAGTAGTTCAAACCCACTCCTAAAGGGACATTTATTCTTTTGACTGGATCTCTTTTTTGTTTGCCTTCTGCACAGCAACATCACACTCCTGACTGCTTGATCTTCTGGCCTAAATTTGTAGTAACTTCTCCCCTCTTCTGTATCTACGCCTGTTGGCTAACGGTACCTTTTTCATGCACCTGGTAAAGTGGACTTGGGCTCAGAAAAGCTGTTATCAAAATAAATGAGTCTGTCTTTAAGGTGCCCCAAAACAGCATATCAGAAAAGCAGAGACACACTCAGATGAGACCTACAATGGATGGAACTTGCAATAGAATAAACTGAATTAATACCATAATTGCCCTGTGCTGATAAAGGAAGTCTGTGTCCATGGTTGTAAAGGGAAAAGGGATGGTTATGTATTTCATGTATCTTTGTAGCTTATATTTCTTTTTGTTGTGTGTTGGTTTTAATAAAGTTTTTTTTAAAGTGCCCAAAGACCATTGCTGTGGTTGCAACCCTTCTGGACACATAAAGCAAAACTCCTTCCTTTGAGCTGAGCCTCTCCACTCAAAAAATGTGTTGGAATCTAAAACATTTGTGTCCTTTGAGCTCAAATATTCAAGTCTCAGGTGGTCTTGTGCCCAGCAGCGGCCGTTTCTCAAATGCAATTTCTAACAGGGCTGTTTGGGCGTCTCCTTGGATGGTGTTGCTTATGCAAACAAGTGATTGGGATCAAAGAGAATGTTCTGTTTTCCCACTGGCTTGGTTTGTTTCTTGTAGATCACTCTGTGTCCGTTTGTTTAGCAACCAGATGAAGCAGAGTGTAGTGCACAGCATAGACTTCACGGGGCCTGGAACGGTAAGTACAATCCATTGGGGTCAAGGTTGCTGTCTTCGGCTTGGGAAATTCTTGGGAGGTTTGGGGGCAGTACCTGCTGTGGGTGGTACAGTTTGTGGGGAAGAGGGAGCTCAGTGGGGATATGATGTCCCTCTAGGATTTCTGTTTCTCCAGCGCCATTCAAATCTAATTATGTTCCCTATCTTCTTGACCATCAAACTATATATATATTTTTTTTGCTGTCAAGTTGCAGCAAACCTGGGTCCCTATCTTCTTGACCATCAAACTATATATATATTTTTTTTGCTGTCAAGTTGCAGCAAACTTCGGGGGGGATCGCGGGGGATCGCAGTTCCCCCGGGTGAGGTACGGG